TTTTTAAGTATTTGAACTCGGGTAATCAAAGACACAGTAGTTGATCGTTTACAGGTGAACTGAATTGTTACTGTATATTACACAATATGGAAGTGATTTATGATATATTTAAAGCGATATGATGGTTTAATTTTGCTATTAAAGGCACTGTTAAGAGATTTTTTAAAATTTCAATGAGTATCAATGATAGCCTCAATTTGCACCATTCCAATTTTCCAATCAAACGTCTAGTTCCTGCTAGTGTTTGATGATTCCACAAATCCCGAAGGACCTTATGTGATAAAGCATATTTTGCTATTAGTGACTTCATCAAACACTTCTTTTTTTGTAGAATTGCAGGAACTATAGACGTACGGCTGTATATTGGAATAGTGCAAATTGAATATAGACAATTATTTTTCAGAAAATCTCTTTACAATCCCTTTGGGGACTGTTAGCTCTTTACCACTGTCACAAATTAAAAATTTCTGGATATTTAAATCGATATAATATATTTTTTTGTTCTCAATAAATTTCATTTTAACTCTGCTGTTAGTATATGACGTAGGAAAACGTACTGTTATATCACGTTTTCGCCAAGTTTATGAAAATATACGTAGAACAAAAAGTTAAGCGCCAATAACTTTAATTCAGTATACTCTGGGACATTGTGTACGTCGTAGAGACCCTCCTGTACAAACTGTAACAGAGTTGGTTGAAGTATTGCATCAGGAGTGTCAGCAAATTCCTCAACAGGACATTCAAAGACTGATGAAAAACAGATACTTTGCATTTGGGGCTATAAAGGCAATATAACGTACGATCATCCACTTCTTCTTGTTGATTTTTTCACGAATACATATTGTTTTCAACATTAGGTCCCAATAAATACATCTCTGTTATCAAGTATGATTGTGAATTTGATTCATTGCGAAACAATGTTTCAAAATCTGGTTGCGCTTAACTTTTTGTTCTAGGTATATTTAATTTTTAAAATATTTCTGCACCACAAGATGCAATTAATAGTGTGTTTTTGATATGAAGTCAAATAGCTGAGCTGGATATTTGTCCCGTAGCTACAGAGGGTGATGCCCCCCCCCCCCCCTCCCCCAACCAAAAAAAAAAAAGGATTGTCGGCCTGAAATATGCTGACAAACCAGCCAATTCCATTACTGCAATTCAACATTACTACCCCTCCTGATATATTACTTGCCCCTCCGATCAATCAAGTTTGGCAACGAGCCTGCAAGTAACTTAAATCGATTATGGGACTTTCACATCAATTCGAGAATGATAAGGGTATTATATGTAATCAGCAGGTTTTTGAAATATTGAAATAAAATCATCCCAAACCTTTTAAAGCGCTTAACGTAATCAATTGATTTGTCTGTAGTGTATGGTGAGAGGATCTATGACGTCATAAGTGTGATATAATGATGAATGCAATCGATGGAACCTGCCATTTTAAAGTAAATAATTCAATATAACATAATGCCTAGGATAATTCAAATTGGACATGCATTTATTTTCTTTTATGTTCCCCGGTGTTAATGGTTGTCTCGCTCAATAGAGATCTTGGTGTAAATTTTAATTTCAGATAAGAAAATTATTAATCTTCGCTCTTTTTTATGATCAACAATTTTCAACATATTTTCAGCAAATTCTATTTATATATTAAATCCATTTGAAATTGAATGTTTTATGTATGGTCGATAGTTTTCAACATATTATCAAAAAATTATATAATATTAAATCCAATTGAAATTGAATTGATAACAGGAGATAATAGCTACAATTCAGATCGATTCAGTTATCGAGACTAAAAAGAATAGAGGGAGAAGTCTAAAGAAGAATAAAATGACATATTATATATTATAGCGTAGTACATATACGAGATTTTACTTGAGGTGTGTATGTTTGGCTGGTGAAGGGTGGGGGTGGGATGAGCGTTGGGGTGTATAAAAGAATAATTCATTTATATGAAACGTATTTACATTAATTTGAAAACAAAAGCTATATTTTTACTTGATTCAGATAAACGATGTAAAACTTTCATACGGACTTATGCCGAGAACAGATGAGGTAGACGCAATTCGTGTCCGCACCGTTGGTTGATCCTAACGTCGTGTTTTCACTTCTTCAATTTTTTCTTAGACATTTGACTAGTTACTTCTATATTTATTGATGATGTTATAATTTGCAGGAGGTTCACAATTGGGTTATTGGTATGAGTTTGAGTGAACTAGGGTTCTCAGTTAGATCAGAAACCCTATTTACAATGAATTACATGATATCTGTTTATGGAACTAAGGAACCAGAAACTACTTATAAATAGGCATTAAGGAGATAAATGGTAAAAGGACATAGAACCGTATTTTACGATTGATTCTTTAAGCTAAAGTTATATTACTGTCTTTAAATGTCTATCTGGTACATTGTAAATAAGTATTATATCAGATTAGTTGTTCACTTATCTTTACAGCTAATGGTTTATGTTATATGGTAGTTCGGAACTTGCTGACAACTGTCTTGTATACTGTAAGGCAAGGACAAATAATTGTATTAATAATGCATCCACATTTTCCTGGCAGTCTATGAAACCCCAAATTGTTACAAATGACTGGAAAATAACAACAAAACCAATAAATTAAATCCAGAAATAACTTTTTTTTTATGGGGCTGAAAAGAATAAGATAACCGTCTTGCGTGTTGGATAGACCGTGGAACGTTTTCTAGTGGAGTGGACATTTTAAAGCTTGAAAATATAGGCTTGAATCGTATCCAAGCGCAAACCTTTAAGCCGTGCTTGCCAAGAAATTTTGTAAACCAGGACAGGAACGACCAAACTTTTTTTCATATTCATCCGTTAACAGACAAGGAAAAGCTCTGGCGATCATTAAACGATGTTTTAAGTGTTTTTATTATAATATTTAAAGATTTTAACATTTGGTAACGATTTCTAATGTTTTCCGTTCAAAACGCATTAAATATTGTTTTATACAAAGTAAAACCAGATGTGAGTATATATTGGAATTGTAAGGGCAATGACTCTACATGTTACAATTTGTCGGTTAATCTGTAGAGGCAGGGTAAAACCAACCTTGTAACTTACTTCTAACATTTGGCTGATCAGTTGTTGGATTTAGTCAAACTTGGCACATTGACAGTTATATCACAGTTACCACAAGTTGCAGTTAATAAAAGTTGACCATGTTCGGCCTTTCAGTGGTTCATGTTCTTCTTTTCAGTGGTTCATGTTCTACTTTTCACCGGTTCACGTTGTACTTTTCACTGGTTCATGTTCTACTTTTCAGTGGTTCATGTTCTACTTTTCACCGGTTCACGTTGTACTTTTCACTGGTTCATGTTCTACTTTTCAGCGATTCGCATTGTACTTTTCATCGGTTCACGTTGTACTTTTCACCGGTTCACGTTGTACTTTTCAGTGAATCATGTTCTACTTTTCAGCGGTTCACGTTGTACTTTTCACCGGTTCACGTTGTACTTTTCAGCGGTTCACGTTGTACTTTGCAGTGGTTCCTGTTCTACGTTTTTTTAATATGAGCGTTTCACTCGTGTCAAATTATCATGCCATGCGACGGATCAAATAAGATGCTTTGAATCCGTGTGAACTGCGTATGTAAGAACCATATGCTTGAGTTTTTAGTTGTTATTGGTGTACAAGGAAATGTAATTCTTGAGCACAAGAGAAGGGCGCAAAACTCCATTTTGTATTATACAAGACCAAACCTATTATAATATTTATTCAAATCTAGATTCAATCTGTACCACATGTAGTAAATATCAAAATAGTTTCAGTATTTCTACTCAATAATAATAAAATAACAGTTACCTTCAGGTGAGGATTAGTTCTCGTAGTATAAACCAATTCTATTCTTAATCTCATCTTGCAGCCTGACTGCACTCTACTAATGTACCAATAGCTCTAATGAATTAAATATGCTGTTATCTAAACACGATGTTGATGGTGAGAAGAAATATTGTCTATTCATCGATATAAGGAAAAGTACAGTGTTACAGCATTGGCATGTTAAGATTTGAATGACATTTAGAAACGGAGAGCACAAAATCAAAATTTACATTCAATGACTACACGTGTAAATTGTGTTGAAGCTTGATGTATTCATCAATGAGGTACACAAAGAGTTACAACATTGTAAAGTTCAGATTTTCCGGAAACCCCCTCTCTGTAGAAGCAGAGATTCAGAAGGGGTTTTCTAGACTGTAAATGTGTTTCAGGAATTTTGAGAGATTCCGTTATTTACGGAATATAGTATTGGCTTTTTTGACGTACTAACCTGTCAAGATTTTCTAGAATTACAATGACTTCAGACGATAAAACAATGAATACTTTTGTCCCCAATCGCAATTTAAACCTATTTTAATCTTCTTTAAAGAAAGGATCTCATCTCTTTCTTACATATTTTTTACAGATGCATTATAAAGATATTTACACAGTTGCTCTCAACATTTTTTTCCCTGAAATAAGCATGTTACGTGTGCATAACATATATCCAGTCGTAGAGAGACGTTTTTTGGATCGTCGAGATAAATAATACTATCGTATACTATCGTACTGTCTTCTTCAATGCTGTCCAGACTGACAATAAGTCCAGGATTTTTTTTTATGTCAGACTGTCTAAGCCGAGTGTTTCGGGTGATAATCTGTATTGATAAATCAACGCCTTTATATTGAATTACTAATGTTATTTCCGTTTTTCTCTTTCCAGTTCCAATGGTTGCAGTAGACTATATCACCTGCACCTTATCAATTCAATTAGTTGGGATGAGTGATTAGTTCAAACCTTGATACAAACCATTTGTACAACTCTGTTGTGTCTACAGTTACCAGTCTTCCTTCCGTACCATACAGTTATCTTGTGATAAATAGCTTCTTTTAGTGATATACGGAATAAAATGTGTCGGAAATGGCGTACGTTAATGAGACTACAAACGCAGTGGATCAATTCGTTACGGCCTCGGTAGACGCAGCGAAATATATGTTAGTGAATTCGCAAAGACCTGCGTCTTTATTGGATCTCGTAAATGTTGGTTTAACAAGTATTCGGAATTCAGATCAATCTACTGCGACAGCGTCTTCGACAACGACTCCGTTTAGCAATATAACGCACAATATCTTATGGAATGATTCGTCCACCGTCATCACTCAAACGTTTACATTACCTGATTACGACTACGATAATTGGACGTTACCAAATTCTAGTTACTGGAAACCTCCACCCGGTGAATATGTTCCGCGTTCCACTCTAGAAGTTGTGATTATATCGTTTTTAGTTGTCTTGCTGTCCTTAATGACAGCTGGTGGTAACCTGTTAGTGATCTGGGCGTTTAAAATTGACCGCCGACTTCAAACAGTGAGTAATTATTTTTTGCTAAGCCTGGCTGTGGCGGATATCAGTATCGGCGTCGTCTCCATGCCGCTTTATACCGTTTATTTATTGATGGAACATTGGCCACTAGGGCCTCTTTTATGTGATATTTGGTTATCGTTGGATTACACAATGAGTAACGCTTCCGTGGCGAATTTAATCATCATCAGCTTTGACAGATATCTGTCAGTGACAAGGCCATTGACTTATCGAGCCAAACGAACACCGAAAAGAGCTGGCTGGATGATCGGTTGTGCTTGGGTTATTTCCGCTTTATTGTGGACTCCATGGATATTTGCTTGGCCTTATATAGAAGGTAAACGACGGGTGCCACATGACGACTGCTATATTCAATTCTTGAAGACCAATCAGTATATTACCATCATTACTGCCATGGCCGCGTTTTATGTGCCAGTTTCAATCATGACCATTATTTATTATAAAATATACCGCGAAACTCGAAAAAGACAAAAAGATCTCGTAGGATTACAAGGTTTAAAAAAAGACAATAGCAAAGGAAGTAAAAAATCAACTCTTTCAAGTGATGAGGAAGGCTACTGGAGCTTGAGTGACAAACGGAGTCCTTCCACCGAGTTAAGCTCGTATTTAAGACATAGGAACTCGTGCAAAAGAAAGTGTTTATCTTGTTTTAAAATAGATCGGGACTCGGATGCCGAGGAGTCGAGTTCGAGTGACCAACCTCCTTCCCCTGGAAACACAAACGTCATCGTGTCGGACTGCCATTCGTACATCCCGGTGAGCACCAGTGAATCCATGGCCCGTAGTCCATCAAATCATATTCCAAAGACTAGTTTTAAACGTGTCAAGAAAGAAACTATGTGTGTGAGTGGATCACTTATACCATTACTTCCTGTAGATACCCCCTTGTCTTCCCCAACACCTTCATCGTGTCATAACATCACCACATCATTTTCCCGCCAAACTAACTTGTCGTCTGTACCTCTCACAGAGGAAGACGACGATGACGTCATTGTAGAAAAAGACAAAATGTACACCGTGTTTATACAACTCCCTCCGAAAAATATGGAAGATGAGAAACCTTCCATAAGATTGGTCCCTGATCTTGATTGTGATAACGGTGCTAAACATCCTGATGAATACTTTAGTGACGGAAGTCAGGAAGAGGACGAAGAAGAAGACGATCACGATCGCATCATTCCTCCAGTCCGACCACCCACCGGAACTCCTGCTATGGCAAGACGAGCGCAAAGTAATGATTCCGCGCGAGTTGCCATGCAAGCCAAAATGGCGGCTAAGGTGGCGAACAAGGTTCGGAAACAGCGTGCTCACCATAAATTGCATTCCAAGAGACATGAAAGACGCCAAGATCAGAAAGCTGCTAAGACATTAACAGCTATATTATTAGCCTTTATTATAACATGGACACCATATAATATATTTACAATAGTAGAAGCTTATTGTACCAATCCACCATGTATAAATCCTACACTGTATGCTATAGGTGGGTATACTTTCTAATTTATTAATATCTAATAATAATGTGTAATAACGCACTGGAAGAGATTGCAGTCTACCTTGGCACGTTGAGCTTTTATGTAATTTTAGGGCACCGGGTTTCATTTCTGAAAAAAAAAAATATATATATAGATATTCATGTACATGTAGCTGAAATTGAGCGCTGCTTGGGAATGCAAATTTTAAATCTGTAATTATACAGATAACTGAAATTGAGCTCTACAAGCTGGTTTGGCAATTATTTAGATGAATATACAGAAAGCTGAATATTAGCTATACTTTCTGGTTATGCATATATCTAGATGACTATACAGAAAGCTGAATATTAGCTATACTCACTGGTTATGCATATATCTAGATGACTATACAGAAAGCTGAATATTAGCTATATTCGCTAGTTATGCATATATCTAGATGGCTATACAGAAAGCTGAATATTAGCTATACTCGCTGGTTATGCATTATCTAGATGACTATACAGAAAGCTGAATATTAGCTATACTCGTTGGTTATGCATATATCTAGATGACTATACAGAAAGCTGAATATTAGCTATACTCGTTGGTTATGCATATATCTAGATGACTATACAGAAAGCTGAATATTAGCTATACTCGTTGGCTATGCATATATCTAGATGACTATACAGAAAGCTGAATATTAGCTATACTCGCTGGTTATGCATATGTTACACCTCTCTGCACCAAGAAGGTGAAAACAGAGAAGTGTGAGTAGTAAAACAACCAGGTTAGCCAACGCGATGACTGACACACAGAGAATGAGAAATAATGACAACACTGGGTAACTCAGTTAAGCCTAAAGTTCAGCTTTAAAGACGGTACAACGGTGGACCTCAGGATTATACGATGCAGCACAACTAAGCCTGGTAGACACTTCTGGAGAGCACAAGGAAAGGGTTCATATACTGGCACTATAATATGGTGCAACTGGAACCAACACCCCTTTCTACAGCTCTGTTAACAACAGACAAACAATGTCGTACTACCTTCTACAGGATCATCTGTGGGAGGAGAGAAACAAAACTTAGGTATTTCATAGGCTTTATCAACATTGAGGAGCACATGGAAGAGAACTTCCTGTCATAAGAGTCTACAAACTAATATACAACATGTCTTACGAACATCAACTTGTGTAAACTTATATTACATGAGAGAACAATGCAAAGGCGCAATGAATAAGGGTTGCCCATTACCACGTGGAGTGGCCTAACGCACCGGGCCATCCAACGTGTGTGATACTAATAGAAAATACAAGATTTTCAGAGGCAAAGGCCTAAAACACTGACATAGTGTAGTAAACCTATGTCTTATAGATTGACAGCAACATAATTGGCCTTTTATAGCAAAATAATACCTGTGGGAGGAGAGAAACAAAACTTATTTCATAGGCTTTATCAACATTGAGGAGCACATGGAAGAGAACTTTCCGTCATAAGAGTGACTTGCCCTTGCACACAGGCATTAGTCACCTTTTGAAACACAGGCACTTGTAACTTTTACTAAACAGAGTTACCTCCCTTCAACCACTTAATTGTCCTCACTACTAAGCCTTACACATAAGAAAATGGTACCCCCTTGTATCTACTGTTACACTCTCCCCCACAACATAAATGTCGTCCTCGACATTAGGAACATTAACAAAAACCCTTAACTAATAGGAAAGCGTAATGCTTCAGGTCCAACGAAGTAACATTACAAGATGATTCCTGGTACCTGCAGATACCTTTGCTATACTTGTCACAGGTGATCAGTCTGGACAAATGTAGATACTTAATTACAATTAAGATATGAATATCCGGTTACTTTTAACATTAACTAATGCAACTTGACCTTGTCTTACACCTATTTTCAGTTTTACAACTAAATATTTTAAACTAATCATATCAAAAGTTAAAACAACAAATAAATCTTAACATTAACCAGAACTATAGTGGTCACTGAAATATTATTTTACAACCTTGTATATGATGGATTTCCAGCCGAATCATACGTTAGCCTAGAAGGTGCCTTTCGTAACCGTTTTCGACCAGAATGAAGTTCTTCTTGAAATGAATCTCCATTAGATCTTTCATCTTCTTGAG